TTGTGGGGCCGCGGGGCTACCGGGAGCCTTGCTGCAAGGGGACCGCAGTCCCCTAGGTGGGCTCTGCCCGGACTGCTGCTGAGCGGCCTGGAAGGAGAAGCCGGCGGAGATGCTCTTGCCATCCTGTTAGTTCTGTTGGAATCGTTTATCTTGTACCTGTTTTTGGAAAGCAGTTGGTGAAGCTCGTCCTCTGGTTTGGTTAACGTTAGTGGATGTGACCAGAAAGATGCGCGTCAGGTTAGTTTGCAGTAAATTAGGGTCCCTCAGGTGGACGTTAGCACATGGTTTTAGAGTCCAATTTGAGGTGTTTCATTTCTTTTGTGGAAGAATTTATACTCGAAGTATCCAACTTTGTGAGAGATCGAACTAGAGGCAGAAGAGAGAGGGAACTGTCAGTGTTTCTCGGTGGAAGGAACAAAAGGTAGGCCTGCTGATAACTGCAAGTTCATCAGTGTCTTTCTAATAGTTCTGAGAAACATAGGTGAAACCAAAGGGCTTGGTTGGAGCCAGGAATCGGGCTGAATTGGTAGTGGAGTTGCTTATGGGTTTCCCAGGAAGGAACTTTTCACGTACTAATATTGTTATGTGAGCTTAGGAATTTGCTCATGATGCAAAGTTGGTTGTGGATATGGAGAATCATGATATACTGAAAGATGCGGGTGACCTTTAAGGAATGAATAGCAGAAATAAGATTACAGTGGAAAATAAAAATCTGATTGTTATGCCACATGGCTAGTATTATAACTTCAATCTTAAATGGAAATAGTTGGAAAAAAGTAGGCAGGTAGACTTGTTGACTATTAGATATGTATCAGTCATGGAAGTGATGCTTTTGTGAAGAGAGAGGTGGCAGTTCTATGGTAGTTGTGCAAGACTGGGACCTTTTATGCCCTCGTGTTTAAATACTCTGCAAGTGCAGCATCTGCATGCAGCAGAGCTGGACTGGCACAAAGCAGGTCTACGAAGGTTGCGTTGTTCCCTGTTTGAGAAAATACCTGGAAAAGTATGGCTTTAATTGCTGGAGCAGAAAGAATGGTGAGGGGGAGTAAGAGTACTTGGTAAAGTACTTTTATACCAGTAGGAGGGAACAACTGTTTAACTTGAAGAACAGTGTAATCATGAGGGTGGGGGCAGAGAATACATTAAAATAAACTAGCTATGAATAAACTTAGTGTAGGTGTTGAAAGGTTTCTGTCTGAGCAGTTGCACTGTTTTTTCAGTGGAATAGTAAGAGATGTTGTGTCCTGTGCAGTCTGTTCCTCCCTCCCCCAAAAGTCACTGATCCTAAGGTTGTATGGCAGTCCTCAGTCCTTAGTGTATGCTGGTATAGAGTGCTATCTTCCTTTAAAAAAAAAAAATAAACCCAACAAACAAACTCTGTATATGCTACCTTCATGCACAAATACATATTCGAAAGGGGAGGAGGGGAAGGCTGTTTTTAACCAAAATAGAGTTTTATTGTCAGTGCTATTGTTTTACCTGTACTTTGCCGAGAAAGAACTTTGTTCTGTATTCATGTAGTTACCCTGGTCCATGAGTATGTCTCCTAAAAAGTGAGGTCATACAGCTCATTTGTGTATAATTAACTATAGTACAATTCCTGTATGCGTGGGCAGAATTCTAGTTGTAAAAATGATTTATCATTTTATTACATGTTAGATGATTAATGCTGATGTTATATGCCAATAAAGAAAGATTATGCTTGATAAACACTGTTTAAAATACAGTGTGAATTATTGTTGGTAGTGGTGCTATGGCTTACTTTTTTTACCCTGGTAAAGATAATACCGTAGTCTCTTTACACGTTAGAGGGAGACTGTCAACTTGCTATCTGTTTGAATAAAAAAAAAAAAATCCAAGTTTTTGTTTAAGGTGCTGGTACATGTAATGCTTTAGCAAGGTGGATTCAAAGGGGGGGCACTAAGTTTTTCTTTCTCAGTTTGAGGGGCATTTTGTTCTATCTTCTGCTCTTGTGGAGAATACCATAACTGGTGGGAAAGTTATATATCTTTGTAAGTTATGTGACCCAGAGAAATGGAAAAGAACATTTTTTTTTTTTTTTGTAGTCATTCATAGTAATGTTATATTTTGCAATGGCAATACATAAAGGTGTTCTGATTTTTGAGATGTATGTTGTGACCATATGTTTTGAAGTATTTTTCATTAAGACTCTTCTATTAAGACTAAAGACTCTGTTCTTTAGAATAAACATAAATTAAAGAAGTCCAATTTTTTTTATAATTTAAGCCCCAGTCTTTTGGTTATATGCCAGTATAGGTTATCTGCTATAATATGTCAGTAGGAAGGCAGTTAAAGATGATAAACATCATGAAAAGCTTGTGAGATTAACGTTCCTTTGATAAGAATCTAAGGAACGTTACATTTCTTCATTTTGCTGTAGATGATTCAGTTGCTGAAAACGTAACATAAACCATGTTTTTAGAAGTCCTCGGTATACTTGCATGCTTCTGACTGTACCTCACTAACTCATGCTCAGAAAGCTAGTTTGTTTGGGTGTTTTGAATCTTAAATTGAAAATGTAATGCAGTATTTTTATAATAAACATAGTGGTACTCCATGTGGAATATCCCATTTGAATATTTTTGAGTTTAAACTGGGAACTATTTCTGAATCTGCTTTTCTTTTTTTTTTTTTTCCCTGAATTGGTATATGGGCCTTAACACTTAGACTGTTTCTCAGTTGTTGGTACCAGTCCAATGTTAATTGGTACCAGATAAACTAGTAAGTGTTTTTTCTAAACAGATATATTAAAACTAAATATACTGGTACATAAAATGCATTTAGTGTTAAGAATTAGTGCCAGAAAGGTATAATACTGAATTATGAAAAGAAAATACTGAAATATGTAGTTATCCCAAAACATGCCAAGAATTTAGCTCAAATAGATAACTGCTTATGACTAATGCGCTGTCATTCATTAAAAGTAGAATTAGATTCCTGATGCAGAGATATTTTCCCCTCATGTTTATATGATATACGTGGAAATACTGAAGAACAGAATAGACCATTTCAGTTGGAGAGGACCTACAGTGATCACCCAGTCCAACTGCCTCACCAATTCAGGCCTGACCAAGTTAAAGCATGTTATTAAGGGTATCAAAAGTTAGTTTCATTAAATAGTATTAAAAACTATCATAGGAACTACAATAATTGGAAGAAAATCCAGGTTCAGACCAGGAGGGTGAACTTACCCTTCATTTGTCAAGTAGTTCATCTAGGTCAAGACTACGGCATGTATGTAGTCCTATGGGTGGCAGATCATGTTTGTCATGTGGATAAAAAAGACCGGTCTTAAGACGATAAGCACGCAGTACTTCTAAATGGAAGTCACAGCCTTTGGCTGGAATTCTCTGGGAATGTGAACACCAGTAAATATTTTCTTTTTTTAGCATACAAGGTGTTTTTTGAAATCCAAAGAAAATATGAATTAACTTTTTCCACATGACTTGGATTTTCAAACTTCTGTCAAAGTTCTTGTTGACCTCTTATAAAATAACTTTTTGTCCTATGTTTGGAAAACTTTTCAATTGTTATTTAAAATCATGTTATTTGGGGAACTTTTATTTTTTTAAAAAAACTTTTTCCCCAGAAAAAGGTTAATATCTATGGAAGGGGGACCAACTCTAGGCAAGGGTCAGCCTTTGCTAGGCTTCCAAAGCTGCAAAACTTGGAATGTTCTCTAAATTGAAGTGTAAGTCTTAGAACTTTAGCAGGGATACAGGGAGGCTCTTCGGTTTTTAGTCCCATGTTGAACATAGAGAAAGCAAATCCGAAGTTACAAGTAAGCTTAAATTGTTTCCCTGTGTCAGAGGTCAAACTTAAATGCTTTATATCTGTTTGCTACAGTTCTCCTGGAATGGAAATATTGAGTTTTTGTTGCTTCAATCAAAAGTGTTGCTTGTATCTAGAAGTAGAATGAATGAAAAAGCTGAATGTTAAGTGCTTGATGATACTGAGGAAAAATAAGTATATCATCTGTGTGTGTGTTTGTGTGGTTTTTTTTTTTCTAGCATGTTCACAGTTTTCCCAGAGGTCCTGTGAAGAATGTCTAAAGAATGTTTCGGTAAGACTTTTAGCATCCTTTTTGACTGAATTTGGTGGGTTTATTTTCCATTTAATATGAAGTCAGATTGTTGTGGTTCGTTTGGCTGTTTGATGGGGGGTTTGTTTTGGTTTTAATGGTGAATCTAGTCAAACTACCCTTAATAAGAGGAAGTCTCTGTTATTTAAGTGGTAGAGTCAACTGATGTGCTGCTTCTCCTCTGTCACACTCTCGATGCCAGTGTGCTTTTGCTTTGCCAGGGTTGATCCATGATTTGATCACTCAGGGTATTTCTCTCCTTTGTCTGGAGAGGATGGACAGTGTAGAATCCAGGCTTCCAGTTTCAGTGTGTGCTCAGTGCTCCCACAGTGCAGCTGAGCGAGTTGATGTTGCTGCTGGTTTAGACTTGTCCACATTTTGCGAGCAGTACTTAGTTAAATTTCCATCTTGTACAAGGGCTAGATAAACTGAATCGTATGTGGCTAAAATGCCTGGTATTTCTTGTATACTGAATAGGAGAACTGAGAAATTAATGTAAATAAATTAGAAGTGCCTTTCTCTGGAGATGCCCCAAGCAATGCATTTAACTGAGGCAGACTGGACCAGTGCTTTGTAGGTGTTCAGACATGTTGGGCTCTCCACTGACTGTGTCTGACTGTAAGTGCTTAAGACTCCCAGGCTAGGTCTTCCATCTGGTAGCAAAGTATTTAGATTTCCAGTGAGACTGCAGTAAGGCAGACATTTAAAATAATAGAATTTGTTTCTCTGTCCTTTGCTCAGAACCTTTTTAGCTCAACAATAAGGGTTGTGATACATATGCAAAAGGTGTCTGTCCCTGCAGAGTAGAAGAAACTCTCAGAGTGAGAGATTGTTTCAAATTCTAATGTCAGATGTCACTGAAAAGAAGTATTTTATGAGTCTATAAGTTACTGCAAAACATTTTCAGTAGGGGAGGTTGAGAAATACCCAAACTTACCTGTTTTATGCTTGTCTTCCACATCTTTTGGCTGTTTAATGGAAAAATATTAATTGCCTTGTATTGATGTGGTTATTGTGTGCTGTCAGATGTGTACATTTGTCATTGTAAGCATGGCATTATCTAAAGAACACTTAATCCTCAAATGCATGAAGTAGGAAATGGAAAATACGGGTCATTAAAGTTTAAATGTTCAGCACTGCCACTGGTGTGACTGTCACTTCAAATAAGTGCTGCTGCAGATACACGAGCACAGCTTTTATTAACCTGAGCGCTATGTGCTCACCTTGTGAGAGAAAAATCCTTTAGCTGTGTTTGTGTACTGAAGATGCTAACAGAGTTATAGATACATTGTTTTCAGAATCTGCCAACCCGATGACAGCGTCCAGGCCTGTTTTGGTGACAGTGATGGATGATTTGGGACAACTGCTTCAACAGCATCAGCGTTAACCTTGAAGAAAGGAGTTCAGACTTGATTCAAGCAATTTGCACATACATTTTAAAAAAAAAAAAAGGCTACTGGACAAAGCTATTAGCATTTGAGTGAGCAATACAAAAGCAAAGGATTGCTGAAATTACTTTGTTTAATTGTTGCAGGAGAAAAAAAAAATTACTGCTATGACTAGCTGAGTACCAGGTGTATTAAAATGTAAGAACTTTATCTGTTACCAGGTAATATGTAAATATCGATTAACATCTTGAGAGAGTTTTCTCTTCGTGTTTCTAATTCCATATGACAGCGTGTAAGACAAAATACATAACACAGGTACTAGTTAAAGATAAGACTATGCTTTAAAAATCTGTGTGCATGTGTAGGGCCTCGCATTCTGGAGAATTTTCCAAAATCTCATTTTTAACTTCTGAGTAGTCTACCAACACAATTTTCCTGTCAGCTGTTTATTTTTGTCATTCCCATCTTTGTCCTAATAACAAGTGTGCAGAATGTAAATTTTTGAGGTAAATGGATTTTAGGCAAGCTAGACATTAAAAAAAAAAAAGAGCTAAAAAACAGCTATAGGAAATGATATGATCAATAAATGTGGTCAATTTTTTTTAAGGAAAGGTGGGGATAATAGTAGCTGGCACACATCTATCTGATTATAGAGGAAGAAGCATTCAATTTGTGTTTGTAGTTACTATCTTATCTCTTTTAATACTGAGAATATGTCCTTAAAATGAGTGCTTATCAAATTAATGATGTTGCACTTCATTATCCATGTGAGACTACTAAAATAGTCAGTGATATCCATCAGAGTATAAACGTGGTTCCTAGCATACTCTGCAAATGATATATGATTCACCTTTAAATAAAATAAAATCTTTTCAGTCTTAATTTTTAGGTTATTTAGATGAGGATCAAAGGTAAGGAGATGTTTCACCTGTGGTTGTTTAGGCTTTTTTCTAACTCAATTCTGACAATTAGCTCGATTTTTAGCATTGGGAATGAGTCAACTGAAATATTTTCTTTTGCTTCAGCCTCTGCACCAATCAGTAGCTGCATCAGGTATTGCCGCTTGGGCTACATGTTTTTGATAGTTAAATGCAGTACTCCGCATCAGACTGACACAGTTGACCTTTCTGTGCTCCTAGTTGTCACCAACAGTATAGTAATTCAGGTTAGAAGAGACCTCATGAGTCATCTCCAGCCTCCTGCTCGAAACAGGGTCAACATTACATTGAAATGAGTCTGCCCCCTATTAGTCATTATTTTTGAACTGTTAATTCTTATTAAATATTTGATCCAGCAAAAATAAGCATGTTTTCATCTAACGTCCTTGATTAAAATTAAAACTTAGGAGGGCATTTTTTTGCAAAGATTATTTTGCTTTCTTAATTATTTTTGTTGATGTTTATGGGTATGTTTGAGTCGCACAGCATACAAGCTACAAAATATGAATGAAATTTTCGTGTCTCTCCATTTTTTTCAAGAGAGCAGAATCTACTACAAATGGTTTCCTTTGTATTTAACGTTTTCTAACCTTTCAGAGCAAGATAACAGACTTTGTGCAATCAAGGATGTATGACACAGATATTCTTGATAGTACTGTTCGATAAAGCATAGTTCCCAGATGAGCTCTTTCTAGAATGAATCATAAAAAACTCTGTTCTGTCAAGGATCCAAATCTTCTTCACTGGTTGAGTTGTGTGGTAAAGGAATTTTGAATGAATATCTATTTTAACAGATGAAAAACAAAGTTTGATGCTTAGTGGTGACACAAAAAGCAGAAATGTTGTGCTGGTATTGTAACTATAATACATGTAAGAAATTTTAAATTTTAAAAATATCCAGATATGTAGGTGTGCACAATTAAAGGTACTCAGTGTGCTTTACAACACAGATTGGACAAGGCTGTATCTTCTATTACCTTGCAGCAAAACCTCCTGTAGAATTGTAAGGGTTTTTTGGGGGTGTTTTGTTGTCTTTTTTTTTTTCTTTTTGTTGAAAGTCAAATATAGGGCTGAAGTAAGATTACAAGTGTATTTGTATTTATCAGTGATACCTGGTGTTTTAAAATTCTGAACAGTTGGCTTTCTGGTTTTGTATTTCTGGTTAATTTCAGGCATTCTAAACCCAAAGCCATTTTATCCTCAAGTATACAGAGTACCTCAGTATGTTCCCAAATATTTTTAGGCTAGTGTAAATATTTGTTACCTGTATTACCTATAAGTACAAAATGTACTTACAATTCAGTTTAGGCTTACTTAGGAATTGTACCACGATTTCTGTAGGTTTTATTCTACAAAGCACTTTCAGTATATCCGTACAGTACTGTACACATTTAAGAATTTTGTCTGTGGAGAGTAGCACTAAATTGTAAACTGTTTTTGAAGATAAATAACTTGGTTTTTTTATTTCTTTTGCACAGTGCCTTTGGTGTTACACCAACAACACTTGTATTGATTACCCTGTAAGAAGTATTCTTCCACCGTCTTCATTGTGTTCACTCTCAAATGCTCGATGGGGAGTTTGCTGGAGTAGGTACTAATTTTACTTTCACTGTAGATAATTATTTAGGAGTGTGATTAAAGTAAGGCTACTGCTTACTAGAGCTGTTTCCTGGTAATTTATTTGAAGGGGTGGGGGGAGGAGTCAGTGGTTACCATTTTGAACTACACTCCCTAATCTTCTGGACTTAAAAGCAAGTTATTGCTAAGGATTCTTTGTGAACAGTCAGTATAGTTATGCTGATCCAATGGCTTTAAAACATTTACTACGTAGTGAAGTTCTGTTGATGCTGAAGTCCAGGCTGGGAACCAGTGATGTTGGCATGTTCAGAGTATTTTATGTATGTAGTCAGGATTTACCTGTTTCTTAAGCCGTATTTCTGAGGTACGAAGAAATAAGGTCACTTGCTGTTGACAAAGGACAACATTCTTACCTTTTTTAAAATTTCTTAAAATGTTGGATGATATGTTTGGGTCAATAATTTTTATAGTATATTCCAGTGGCAGCACTGAACCAATACCAAAGGAATGGAGCCACCCAAAAATTCTTGAATGCTGTTTTTGCTTAAATAGATGAAAAAAGTGTCGTCTGTGTGTGCTGAAGGCAACACCGTTAAGGTTAAAAATGAAGTTGCGGAGTGCCACTGTAGTTTGTAGTGCTGCATCATTTCCTTGTTCTTAGATTTCCTTTTGCTTTGCATTTTGCATTACAAAATACAGCACAGCGCATATGCTGCCATTGGGGTGAAAACTTTGGAGCTATTTTTGCAATACTGTGTATACAGATCTAAATTCAGAATAGACTAGAACGGAGAACAAGTAAGACATTGGAAAGCTTGTCATATGAAATACGAGTACATCTTCATTCCAGCAAAGCAAAGGCTTGCTGCTTTCTCTGTATTTGCTCATGAACATGAGGAGGCTAAAGGACAAAAACAAGTGGGAATGAACCATCAGTGACTATATTAACTGTAAATTAGAAGAAAGTTATCACACTTAGAGCAGTGAGATTATGGAGTAGTGTTTGGAGTAGCAGAGGTAGAAGATTGCTATTAAAGTGGAGCATGCAAGTTTCTGAATGCTGCGACTTCATATAATCCCTACAAACTGAGGGACTAGATTGGACAACACAGAACATTACCAATTCTTTGTTCTTAGCATAAGGGCTCTGTGCTTTGCTTTGTGAGAGAAAGCATTTATGCTTAGACTTTTGGAGGGTTTTTTTAGAGCTACAGAAGGTATATCATTTCACTGATAAGGCATGCTTTATAAAGAAATTGGGCTTTCAGTATTATAGTAAATGCTGTTACTATGAACTGTTAAGCAAACTTTTTCCTGGAATTGTGGTGCATTGACTCCTGCCAACAGCTGAGTACCCACACTTCCCTGGCCTCAGTGGGATGGGGAAGAAAATAAGAAAAACAAAAGCAAGAATTGAGGTAGACAATTTAATAGGTGAAGGACAAATGGGGAGAGAAGAAAAATCAGCAAAGGAAATCAATCATCACCTCCCACAGGCAGACTGATCCCAGCCAGTCCCCAAACAATAGTGACCTTAGAAGCCAGATACGCCCTCCATGTTTTTCCTTTACCTCAGGTTTTATTGCTGATCATGGCATTATATGGTGTGGAATATCCCTTTGGCCATTTTGGGTCAGGTGTTCTGGCAGTGTCCCATCCTGACCTCCGATCTCCTGCCTACCTCTGGTCCTACTCACTGGTGGGAACAGAGTGTCGTGGGGGGAAGGCAAAATGTTGATGCTCTTCAAGCCTGTTCAGCAACAGCCAGAACACTGGTGTGTTATCAGCACTGTTTTAGCCAGAAATCCAAAACATGGCATCATACCAGCTGCTGTTAAGAAAGTTAACTCTCTCCCAGCCACATGCAGTACAGTAATGCCTTTTGCAAAGCAGCGACTACTGGTATCTACTGATACTAAGGATGGTCTTGGCAGTTTACTTGTGCTATAGAAATGGTTTCTAGCTTGATTGCCATTTGTGTTTCTAGATTGAATGCAGTTTAAATAGAGAATAGAGCACATTCTAAGCAAAAAAGGTAAAAGTGGAAAAAGAAAACAACAACAAAACCTTCCAGTTATTAATTTCCTTAATAGATTTTTTACAAATTATATGCAGCAACATGCCATGTGTATATATAGATTTATTTAGACTGTCCCCTTCGGACACAGCAGGAAAACTAATTACCTTGTGAATGTGGTGGTGTCTTTCCTTTTTGCAAATAAAATGAAGAGATGAGTGTTGGTTCAGTGTTGCTGAAAATGAAGCTGAATATTGCAGCTCTCAAAGTCAAAAATAAATGACTGGCTTCCAGTTACAATTTTTATGGAATAAGACATGTTGACAGATTATTAACCAGCAGTGAAGAAAAAAGAACAGTATAGAAGCAATGTAATGCAAAGTAGCTTAATTGTATTGTTTTTCATGAATAATAAACAAATAAATTGTGGAGACAGGAATGCAGACTGAAAACTGACTATTTTTCTGCACTTTGTCAATAGGTTCAAAATATTTTTTCCTTCAATTAAATGGCATTTTAAAAAGTAAATAGTATACTCTAAAAAAATTAAATGGAGACTAAAACCATTTTTTGTTTTTACTTCACTGAAAGAAGTATATTTAATTGCTTGTAACTTTTAGGGGAGTAACAGAATGAGAAATGTGTTACGGTGAAATGTTACTTTCAAAATGTACATGTTCAAGATTTCTTTCTGTATTGTAAATAGAAACTATGTATTAATCTGTATTATAAACTACCCAGTAAATTACAACACACAAGCAAAAATACTTGCTGGGATCTGATATTTGGCAAGATCTGTGAAGGATGTTCCTTGGCCACATTTAAGTTGGTGAGATCTGTGGAGAAGTAACAGACTCTTTGGCTTGTGCGTGTGATCAGAGCGGATAGACCCTCTGAACTTCACTTGCTAAATCTGACTGTTTTACCACTAGTACCCTGAAGCAGTAAAAAGTGCGTGTGCAGCTACTTTTGCATTACTGCAGCAGCACGAAGTTCAGAGGCATTTACGTGGGAGAGAGACCATTTCCCTGCCCCTCTCCCCATCATGCTTTAAAATAGACAGTGGTGGGGTATGTGTGGGGAGGGGTGTTTAGTTTTTGTTACCTCTGTTGATACAACTTCCCTGACTGATTTAATTTTGTCCTTTGTTAGGTCCTTTAAATAACTCCTCAAAGTTGTGTCAATAGTGTTGCTTATGTTGTCCTTGTTTGCTTTCTTCTTGGGCTTTACTCCTTTCCAGGACATCAGGTTTCTAGTTCAGCTACAGTTACAGTGTATGCAGTTAAAATAATACACCCCCCACACACACACACCCGCCCCGATTTGTTTATCACTCTTTGGATGTAGAAGATGACTCTCTGGCCATAGAAGATGACTTAGGAAGTTTTATGGAGAGTTTTATACTGGTTCCTTCAAATCCGCTGATGTTGTCTTATTTCATTTTACTCTAACTGCTGCATGTAATGTGTCTACATTGATGCTGCATCTGTATGACTTTTTTTTTGTTTGTGCTGTACGTTGGCTAAGGTGGTGTGGAAGACAGAACTGTGTGATTACATCAGTAGAGATATATCCTATAAAGTATTATAGGATGACTTACAATAATTTGGTATATGCAAAGAGCAATTTTACTTAATGTCTGTTCGGTGTAGATTATACATAGTAGCAAAATTCTAATGTGATATGGTAAGTTTTAACTGGGGTAGTTGTGCAGGATTGTGTTTCTGATTTTTTTTTTTTTTTTTTATACAGAGGTGAAAAAGATCTTGGGAAGGAGGGGAAGAATTATCAGAAAGACAAATTTTAATGCTGGAGTCTAACAAGCTGAATATATTCATATTTTTCAGTAAACTTTGAGGCTTTAATTATTGCCATAGCTGTAGTAGCTGGACTCGTTCTGGTGTCCATAGCAGTCTGTTGCTGTTACTGCTGTTACTGCAGAAGGCGTTCCAGGAGGTAAATACATAATATTTGTTTACTTTACTAACTTTGGGTCCTGGTCTTCCCTACCTACCTACAATTTTTACTCTCCAGTATACTAAGAATCTTTTCATTTGGAAGCATTTTTGGTCACTTTGTTTTATTTGTTTGAGACACAAAAAAAAAAGGTGTTTAGTGACAGGCAGTATAACACTAGAAATGTTGCTGGAATGACACTGAAGTTTGTTTATTGGGACAGCACACTATGCTTCCTTGTGTCACGGAAATTTTAGAGATCAGGTTCCTGGGTAGTGTAGTTTTAGCTAGCTCCATTCTTTTTGTCCTTCAGCAGTACTCACATGAACAAAATGTGGACCTTATTTCTTGATCTGAAATAATTTCTATGCTCAAGTACCTGTAATTCATAGTTCTTGTTTGAGGGTTGGTTGTTTTTTTTTTTTAAAGAATTTATGTAGCTGTACCTTCAAGCCAGAGAAATATGGTGCATCTGTGCCTTTCAAAAAAAGGAGAAAACAATTGTAAATAACATGTCATTCCCTTTTCTTTGCCCTGAGGAAAATGCATGTACCTGTTATGCTGGTAGATTAGTCTACCAAATCTGCCCTAGTGCAGAAATGGATAACTCTTTAGCCCTGTGCTGATAAGCCCTGAAGTTGTATAGAACCATTTTAGATTTTATGTAAGATCTGCCAACTTCATCTGCAGAAGAAGAGTAGGCCCCTGTGGCTGACATGCCAACAAATAAACCTTGATTCCTGTTAAGAGAGAGATTTGTGCCAGACTTCAGTTTTAGTAGCTGGGTTGTCAGTCAGTACTGTAACATCTAATTCCAAAAATAGGGGGTTAGTTGAGAGTCATCTTATGCCAGAACTCCAAAGGTGTCAAGCTTAATCTTCTGACACTCGGAGGATTTAAAGGTCTTGTCAGAGTGGGGTCCAGCTTATTTCAGGAGGATTCAGAATGTATTACTGCACTAGAGCCTGATATATTACTGGCTTTAAACCCACTGATTCTCAGCAAGAATTCTGCTGTCTGCTTCCTCATTTTGGGGACTCCTTTTCCACAAAAAGAAATGTTTTTAATTAGTTGGAAGGAAGAAAACTTGTAGAAATGTGGTATTAGATCTGTTTTACTAACTTCTTACATGTATCGTCTCAGGTGTAACCTTGTTTTGCAGAAGCATCGGTATTCCTTCTGGGAGTTCTTAAGCTGTGGGGTTTCAATGTTTAAGAAGCCAGCACTTATCTTTTCCTTGAACACAGAGAATGCTTAGGTGCATTAATCCCCATGTCAGTACAATAGCTGGCTCACCTGAGTCCATCCCTACCACAGGAATCCTAGGACTATTGGTGCATTGTTTCAATTCATTATTTTTATTCTACGTTTAGACACGAAGAGTCTGGTTCTATGTACTTAAGAGAGAACTTTTCATGAAACTATACTAAATAGACTCTCTTGAACTTCTTCAGTTTAATGACTTTTTTAATTTTTATGACTTCAGACTTTCTGAATTTTGAAGAAAAACTCAATTCCTTCAGTGTCTAGAAATTGGAAGATATTTAATGCTTCTTTTAATTGTAGGGAAGAAACATTTTCTGAATCCTATACCAGTATTTTATTGTTTTGGTGGGTTTGTATTTTGCGATACTAGTGTGAACTGAGACTATTGCATAGTTAAAAGATGCTGGGGTCTGCAATAAAGTAGTTTTACAGAAGGACGCCCAAGAATGGGAGCTTCTAGTCTTCCTGGACATGCTAATATGAGGAATTAATTAATTTTACAAAAGGGTCTAACGTAGTTTTCTAATAAAGGTGTCCTGTTTCATGTGTTTCTGCTGCTAAACTCCCCCAAGATTTTTCTCCTTATGTGCAAACAAAAAAGGAGGAACTAGAAAATTTGTATGTGAAACATTACACATATTCTGAATTACCGGATTGTGTTTAAATGACTAAGATGTTCAAAGGCAGGTATGGACTGATTGAGCAGATAGAAAAATTGAGTTCAGATTTCCAATTCTGGTTGTTAAAACATTTGACATGCTATAATTAACCACTGGATGTCACTCTTGCTTAACTTGTATGTTGGTTGATGCAGATGTGTGGTACTATAACTATCCTTTTCTCTATTAGCAGGTGTGTTAATATTACAAATATTCATACCAAACATCTTCAGGTAGTGCATTTAGTCTTGAAAAATGATTAGCCCCTGGAAAAGCATGGCAGGTGTCCATCACTAATCTTGAAGAGTTGTCATTAATTCTGTCCAAAAAATATTGTTTGGTACTTGCATTAGTTCTACAATTCTTACATGGTGTATCTAATGGTTAAGTGAAGCTGAGCTTTCTCCAAGGCAGGTCACAAAGCCTAAGTGCATGCATTCAGTAGAGCATATCTGCGCATGCACAGCTCAGATGTACCGTGTAGGCTCAGCGTTTCCCAGAATCACACACAGCTGATGCACTCAGGTAAATCCTTGCTCATTCCAGAACAGGGAAGGCAGCTGCCAAGGCAGTTCATGCAGGCTGCTTTCCTGGGGGCAACTTGAGATTGGATAGTGATGGTCACTGGAAAGATAAATTGTTCTGGCATCAAAGGCTTATGAACCATCAATCTTCTTCCCAGGGGGCAATAATGGACTTAACTATGCATGTGCAATACGCTTAATTTAAAATGGGGTGTGAGACATGGGGAAAACAGCAAGTAGGACTCCTGCTTCTGAAACAGTCTGCAACCTGTTCCTAAGAGACTTTAAATTGTCCTGTGGAGCTGAAGCACACATCGCTACATTGGGTGAAGCATTTGGATATTAAAATGTGAAAGGGTAATTCTACACATTTGACAATTACACTTATTCAGCAATGAAACTTTACATGGCTGTGAAGAAGTATCTCAGGTCACACTATAAATCCTTTTTGCAAATAAGTCAAATGACTAAACAGTGATTACCTAGCACTGAAAGTGCTTTTTCTTCCTCTTATGCTTTCTTTCTCTCCTTTTTTTTTGGTAGTAGACCAGATGAAGAAGAAGAACAGCTAGCTAGAAAGAGAGAGGAACGAAGACTACAGTCTCTTCAGAGGTAAGGCTGGACAGCTTGATATATAGCTATACACTTCTTGGTGACATAGGAGTATTCCACCCTTCAAAGGAATATGTGGATTACTAAACAAAGAGGCATTATGGAGTTAGGCACGACAATGTCAGGTTTTTACAAAGTGGGGCTTATTGTGAGATTTGTGAACCTGATTAGGAGCATGTATTTCCATAAGTGAACATGAAGTTGGAATAGGTTGATGCTCACTGTGGCAAGTAAAGTGCTCTGTGCCAGCCAAGAGTAAACAGGAGGGATGTGTCTGAGGTCTTGCCTAGTCTCTCCTGGACTAGTGCCTGCCTGTGGCCGTGAGTAATGCCTAAGCAAGTCTGGGATTCAGAGGCGAAAATGGCTTTTTGGATTCATTTGGTAACTGGTTCTTTTTCTTTTAAAATCTGGCTGGGGAAGGTAAAGAAGTTGATAGTGAGATACCTATTAGAAATTTTGCTCAGGAAATGGAAAACTTTGGCTCGGATGTCACTTTAGGCTTAATCCCACATTTCCATCCTTTCTGTTAAAGCTGTAGCGCAGTGTAGAAAGAAGTGCAAGAGTCAGCAATGATACAGTGCTGCTCAGTGAGAACAGCATTCCTTCAGATGTAAGTTTTTATAGCTTAGTTCTCCAGTGACTCTTCATGGTTTTTACGTTATTCTTCAGATAAACTGTTTTTATAGGTAGTACCATGATACTTGGTACGAGCCCAGTGTACCTTTAGAATCGTGCTTCCTTTCATGGTCTTTGTTTTGGAGATTCACAGTGGATTAGCTTCAGCAAGACAACAGGAGAGTCCTAGCCAAACTAATGCTAGGTTCAGAGCTGCCAGGTGTGGGTTTGAATCCCCACAGACTGTCAAGGAAATTGATCCTAGGTTTGCCACTTCCTGGTTATGTTCTCTAAATACTCGGTTGCCAAGTAACAGGTGGGCACCTTCACTGCCTTCCTGATGCCTGCTGTCTTCTCCTGAGCTCAGACTCATCGCTAATATGAGCAGGGACTGCAGGGAGCAAGGCACACTTCCAGACAAGACCTCTTGGAGAGCTTTTGCATAAAGATGTTAAGTTTCTCTATTACAAATGTGCATAAGAAGACAAGGTAGGTAGGCAAACATGCTTGGTTTGTTCAAACATGTTACATTTCTGACTGGTCACAAAAGTGGGAGCCAGTAAGGTTCCCTTACAGATGTGCCTACTGTTGCTTATGTCTCTGACTGGCGGGAGCTGGGAGAATTGCCCATCTGAACTCCATGCAAATCTGTTTTCTGGTTCTGAACTGCCAGGCTATATAAGCAAATACAGCAACTGTTCGCCCTGAATCTGACAGTGGTTATGGCTCTGAAGGCAGGCGTTGTGGAAGGAGAGTAGATTCTGTTATATTGGTTTAAATTGATCCTTTAGCCTTGTACAAAATGCCTAAACTTGTTGGCAATAGAAAAATTAGAATAGGATACAATGGGGATGTTTAACAAGAAAGAATTTTTCAGAGCTTGACCTAGTGCAAAGCTTGAATGGCTGGTTTTGCGTTTGTGATTCTGATTTTTTTTTTGTTTGTTTTTTTTTTTTAGAGCTATTACATACTGGCTGTTTAATATATCTATTTTGCTTTTCTGCTAGCTGTGTAATACAGTTTAGTAGCTTTTAAAGTTACCAAATTGTCTTTGCTCTGCACAAATTTTGTTTTTCAGACTTACTGTTGCAGTAATGAGTGTTCTCCATTTGTACTTGTTTAGGAAAGTATAAGCTTCAAAGTAACTTTCTGCAGAGGGAAGATGAGAATTAGCTGTCTCCTAGTGTAGTTGAGCTAAAATTATTTTTTTGAAAAGGTATATTTTTAAGTGTAATGGTGCCACTAATTTAACCCTTTAGATTGTGTGTAAAGGTATTGTACTTCTGATATAACTGCGAGCTGCTGATAGAAGCAGCATTCTTGCTTTTTTTCCATGTTCCATGCCCAAAGCACAACATTTTTTAGCTCTATGCTATGCCAAATTTGTTTTGCGGAAAGCTATTCATGTTTCTCTGGGGTTTTTGAGGCTTTTTTATTCTGTTGGGTGAGTTCAGTGAACAGTCCTAGCATGTATCCATAAGATTGCTGGGATCCACAGTGTGCAAGGACAGCATGAATCCAGGGATGGGAGTAAAGTAAAGAAAGCATTTATTTGGGGACAAAGTAGAAAGTAATACTTCCCCTGCCACCATTGCAAGGTAGTGTCAAACTTTATCCAAGAAGAGAATGGATGCCAGTTTGGTTTCATAAACATCTTAATTTGTGAGCTGAAAGTGTCACACCTGAATTGTGCACAGAAAAGGGTAAGAAAGTGGTGGCCAGTTTAAAGGGAAACTTTTCACCTGCTGATTCACTTCTAACTAGTCACAGCACAATAGGCAGAGTGCTAGTGTGAAGGTGATGTTTCTCCTGTAATTCTTTTGTTCTCTTCTAAAGCGAAGGGCTCCCTGGAGGAATATCAACGTTTTGTTGTATGTCAAAACCATGTGCCTTGTAGTGGTGAAATGTACATCCTTAATATTATGCTACATTGTTCAGTTAAATCGACACTTACATTTATTATAAAGCAAAGCGACACTTACAGTTATTATAAAGCAAAGGCTTGTGACCAGGTGCATAGGGGATGGTTGTATACCATAATCTTTCCACTATGATTTGTGTATCGGCTTTAAATTCTTGGTACAGTTAATCTGTAGGAAGTCTGATACTTGTGGAGTGCAGGGTTTTCTGTGCACAAACAGAGCAAGTGGTGTTGCACCAGGCAAATAGCAACATAGAACTAAGACTAACTCCATTCCTGAATTAAGCCTAGGAACAAGGATCGCTAGGAGCAGGCTGTTCTACCAGAATTATTGCTGCAGCCTTAGAGCAGCAGCTGTTTCCTAGCTTGTTTCACAGCACACTCCTGAGACAGAGAAACTCTTCTAATTGCTGGAGAGAGCTTGGTAGCAGCCCTGGGGTATTTCCATGTCCTGAACACATGTACCTATTGTGTGGCTGGGGAGGGATTGGTTGGGCGATGGGAAAACATGAGGAGCAGGCCACTTACAGCAACTGGAACACCTCACCCTACCCACTGCTTGCTTCCTCTAAGTCCTTAGGAGGATGAATTGCTAGTAGCAGGCTGTAGTGCAGATTAATAGTCTCAACAAGCTGGTTTTTACTAGAAAACTACAGAGGAAATGTGTTGTGTACTGTGTGGTCTTCCCTTTCTACAGCCTGCAAAATTTTCATGTAGTTGCTGAAAATAGCTGGATAGATATTCAGATTAAATAGTGTGAGAGGAAAGTAAACATAGCATTGACCCTGTGTCTCTTTTTTTCTTTTTTTTTTTTTCCTGTCATCTTGTTTTCTTTTCCTGTGGGATACAGCTACTTCATATAGAGCTGTTCAGATCAGTTGGCAATGGAAGAACAGGACTAGCTTGAGCTTGATGTCATGGTTTCATTAGTGAAGGGTAAAAACAAAGTCAGAAAGCCTAAGTTGTACAGCGTGTGATTTTATTTAATTTTTTTTCTCCAATCTTCAAGATAATTGCCACACCTAGTATTTTCTGGCTTTTCGGGTACACAGTAACAGTCTGCTCTGTAAGTGTTAAATTTGTTTGTGTTAAAATTCAGTTTATTACAGATACTTAGGAAGTGTCTTTTTGGAATACCTAAATGACTGTTAGAATGAAGAGTAAGGGTAATGACATTTGCCCTCTGCTTCTCTTCACAAGGAAGAAACTAGCTGTCACTTCACTGAGAAAGCTGGAAATCACTGGTGATATATAGAGTTTGCATTTACAGTGAGGGGCAGGAGGGGAAGGAAACCTGGGGTTCAGTTGTCGACTAATACTAAAGGAAAACAGGTATCTTCATGCATAGCTTTAGTCCTTTGTTTGACTTCATGTCATCTCTAACATGAAAAATAACTTTTAATCATAGCATTGAGTAGTGAGTCTTTTTCTGTACACTCATTTAATTATTTACAGCTGCAAATACATGGTACATTTATATGTTAGATTTTTATAATTTATAAACCATGATTTATATGTTAGAAGTTGATAAACCAATGAAAAGCAATGAGATAAACTGCCACGTGTAATTTAGTAGCGTACTGGTAAGGGAGAACAAGGAGCGGGGACAGGGAAAGAAAGGATTGCAGTTCATTTGTGAAGCACCAAGCATGGAAAATTATGATGTGAATTGTTCGTGTTAGGAAAAATACTTTTCTCAGCTTACAGCAGTGGGGACAACTTGTGTGAAGGGCCAAGAATTTAGTATACAGAAGATGGAGTAATAGCAGTAGTATTAAGAAACAGAACCAACTCAGAAGACTGTAAAATGACTTCAGTTGATCATAATGTAAGATGTGAACGGTGCAGTAGGCCACCTCTGGGTCTGATTCTTCTTGGTTGATCTATACCTAAGCCATAAGACGTGAACGGTGCAGTAGGCCACCTCTGGGTGGCTGATGCAGTGACTGCCTGCTCAGAATTGCGTCTGATTCTTCTTGGTTGATCTATACCTAAGCCTTACTCACTCTACAAGGATTTAGTCATGGGTGATAGGATATAGTTGTGGCTGCCAGTCAAAGTTCGAGTGTTTCACAAATATTAATGATTTTACTCTTCGAACTTAAACACGTAAGAATGTTAGATGTTTGGTTTGTTTCAAATAGCCATGGGAAGTATCCTGAAGTGTTTCTGAGGTTTAAAGCCTACACAGCCTCATTTTACCCCCCACTCCCTTACCTTTCTTGCACAGATACTTAGTGCTTTCTGTGTTCAGGGCAGATTCAGACTGACTGCTGAAGTACTGAGATTTCAGTTGAAACTGCAGCAGTGACTCGCCGTTATTTCAGTCAGGGAATGCAAAACTGTGAAGAACATGCCATTAGTACTACCAGTAAAAAACCTAGTTGAGGTCACATAACATCACATGGAAATATATAGAAATAAGGACTGGCTTTATATAGGAGTAGGCTGCTTTAAACAGAATCTCTCTGTTCTCTTCCTGAGATTCTTTGCCTCATATAATGTCTTCCTCTTGCACAACACAGAAAGCAGGAATCCTGTGGCCAGGTTACCCTCAGTAGGTAAACTTGACTCCTCTTCTCCCTGTTCTCTTCAACCTCTCAGTCCAGACTTTCCTCCTCTACACGAATTTAATTTCATTGCCGTATTCCCTATTTCCTCCTCCTCCAGTTTGGCCAGGTTGCTTTGTTTCCTATGCTGCCTGGGCTGAATAGTGGAAAGGGATATAAGGGAGATGGGTATCTCAGGGAGATACTAGTTTTGGGTCAGTCTTTCTTGTTTGGTTTTCTCATTATGCTTTATCTGTATGCTTTCCAGAAGTGCAGTTGCAGGGAAAGGCCAGTTCAGCCCTTCAGCTCTGTAGGAAGCAGGATAATTGCTTCTGAGGACACACAGGATCTGATTAGCAGTAGGAATTGTTTGGAGGTGGAATATGCATAGGGCAGATGGGATCTTTGGTGAATTAAGCTGTCAGTGCTTAACAGCTTTCAGCTGAATATGTGCAAATTGGAACTGGTCGAAAGTCACAACTTGTCTAACTGGGTTGAATTTTGATAGGGGCAACAAACTATTTTTTTTTTTATGTTAGAGGAACATGATTTTGCCAAATTCTATGTTCTTTCCTCAACATATATAGATCCTGCGTCATTCTAGTCAAAGTTGTGTAAAAGCTTTTTTGTTTGTTTTTAAACTGAACAAAATAGATTTTCCCTCAGTTGAAATATAGGAAAATTATCTGAGGAATGATGGAATGATTTCCATTTAAATTTAAACTTACTTCATTTTTCCCCCTTTACCTTTGCAAAGGGGAGGAAGGGGAAGAAGAAATTGACTTTTCAGAGACTTGGTTTATGTGAGAAGTTTGGCAGTCTTGAAAACTGGCTTATGATTAGACAACGTACCTAGAGGCATCCAATTCTTATATAGCTTATATATATTTTAATTTATTCTCTGCATGGATGCCATGCTGGATTTTAGAAACTAATAGTTTTCACTTATACTTGCTGTACGGCTTAAACAAAACAGTAATACACCTTTTATCTTTTTAGAACTATTACATTGAATTAGGATTCTGTATTCACAGCTAAATTTTACCGTTATACTCCCTGCTGGAAAGCATTAGGGAATCTTCCAATATTGTGCCTTGCTTCTTATGTATAGACAAATACCTCAGTGTGTGTATGTGGACACATTACTCCTATACAGAAAACCCACTATTTTTCTTTGTGCTTGCAAATATATCTTATTTTGACATTATTGATTAGTGAGAAGTTACAGGGAATCTTACAGATATATAAAGTGCACATGGATAAAACATAAAACCAATAAATGTGATTTTTTTTTTTAAATTTGTAATTGCATACTAATTTAAAAAATGCTGTCATCTCTTTCAAATGTAATTACCACATTTTTGCTTACAGCTTGAAACAGTCTGAATGTTCTTCTGATGCCTTTATTTGTTGCAGGAAACATGAAAGAAAACTGAAGCATGATGAAATACGTAAGAAGTATGGTATGTGGTAATCTTGTTTTGATACTCTACCTAAATTGATTCCTTTTTCCTAATTATTATTAAAATTCACAGCAGAAACAAGCTGCCCTATGAGCAGCAGAAGTAATCAAGCTCAATTTCCTACTGATGCATGTCTTCTGTCACCTGAACACCTGATCTCCTCACTATTGTGCTCCCATTCTCTTCCTGCACTGACTCTTCCACTGGGCAAGAGACAATGTGCTGGATGGGGTGTTTGCTTAGGGTGGGCATTTAAATATATTGGTTAAAATAAGTAAGCTCTTTCTGTCTTTTCCTAAGTAATGCTGTTTGGGTGGGGGGTGGGTGGGTGGTGTGTGTTCTGGAACTTGATAAACCAGTCCAGTTGAAATTGGCTAGTAGACTCGTTATTGGAGGAGGATAGGCTGACTAGCAGATAGGCAGCTTTTTCAGTCGAGTTTAAGAAGAAGGATGGAGTATGTAGCCTAATATAGGGATTAAAATTGTTGGGTTTTATTTTGTTTTTAAGTGGAGCTCTGGTCCAGTAAGAGAAGCACATCGCAGGACTGTAGGACCTGCTGTGTTGTATAGGAGTCTCTTATTATCTGGGCTTGTCAGTGCTTGCACTTTTCATTTGATTTGTTCATAGGGTTAATAGTATGTGTATTCAGAGACAGATATGGTAAAACTATGCTGCACTTTTTATTATGCAAATGGCACTAATGTCAAAGAAGGTGATTCTAGGGGTCTGAACAGTCACTCAAAACTGTTAATTTTCATTCTCTTATTAAACTGATTGGCAGAGTCTGGGAATGCCTTCATGAATCTGCGGCCTGCCCTTTGGCTGGTGCAGAAGTGATACAGACAATCTCTACAGGGAATTCTCTGCCTAGGGAACATTTGCAAAAGTATGCTCCTTTGTTGGAATGGAGGAAAAAATTACTGTGAAGCTTGAGCTGCAGGAGCAAGAATGTTATAGAAGCTAGAAGAAATTCTTGTTAAGCATCAGTCATGAACTTCAGTCCTGTGGTATTTTATAAGATAATTGACCCTGTATCCCAACCATAATTCAGTTTCAAGAGGTTTGTTTGAGTGGTTGACAAGGATAGTCCAGATTTAAAAAACCAAAAAACCCAAAACAAACCCACCACAATCCAAACAACAAGGTGAAACAACACACGCTTTCTGTGCTTGTTTTTCCTTAAAACAGACCTTAGAGTCAATCTCAAGAAGTTTGAATCATTGGGATAGATCTAGTGAAGAACTTAAGACAATGGCTATGTCTCCAAAAGAACATGCAGCACTCTGTACAGATACATATATAAGTTCGCATCTCCTTGAGGCAGTGCAGCTAAGAGGAGTGAACAAGGTCCTGAATTCAGTATAGCAGTTAGTGCATCAAAGCACTGCACGGGGGTTAAGTGACGTTTCAGAAGGCTGTGTTCAGTTATATTCTGTTTGTGAAACTAGTTCACATGTCTCTGGATGGTCCTACATTTTAGTGAAGACAACTTTCTCTCCAGTGCTTAACTTTCAGACCTTTGTGGAATGCTGCTTTGGATCTTGTTGGAGTACTTCCTAAGTAATATAACTGTATAATTCTGCCTTTGGCATACATAAATCAAATTCAAGAAATCTATACCATGCGCACAGTCGTATGTGACTAGTGTTATTTTTGCCTCCACTTGAAGCATGTTAGTCTATCAGTGACTCAGAAACAAGTTCATACGTTCATCGTGTTAATGGAAGGCATACCTTCTTATAAGGAGTTAGGCATATTCATTTCTTCATGCAGTTACGTTTTGCAATGCAATTTACCTGCAAAAGAGCATAATTCAATTATAAAACTTAAATTTTAATAGCAAACTTTATATAGAAGTTTATTTATTGACAGGCTTGCTTTATTCAAAGATTGATTTGTATTATCAGATGGATCGATTTGAGGCCTGGATTCTCACAATTAGTTTCTGTCCTAAAGAAAAACCTAACTCTTACATGAATAGTTGGCACGTACTGAAAGGATGTATGTAACTGAGGAAAAATGAAAGACAACATATTTATAAATCCTGAAATCCCTAAATATTGTTGCTGATGTATGTAGTTCACATTCTGATAAAATACAGACAAATGGTTGTCAAAATAATTCAGTGAGACATAATAGAGTAAGTCTTCCTGTAGCCTTGGATCTTCTGTCTTCATTTTTCACTGTCTAGTAAATACATACGTTAGCATATTAAATGTAATCTAATAAAAATTGCTGCAAATAATTATGGAAACACTAGATTATTTTACACTCTTGCGCGCTGCAGAGAGGATTCTCAGTTAAGTAGGCATGGATGAGTGGCAGCATGACAATGACTTTGTTAACCTGACTCTGTAGATTAAGATGATCATGCCTGAAATTTCAGTATTTGGTTGGCTTTAAGGGAATGCCTTTTCCCATTTCATCTACCAGCTTTCCTTACCCCATTTAAATGGTAATTACACATTTATAATGCATTGCAGGTGTCACTCTAGCCACAGTCCTTTGGGAGCTTTGGAAGCAGAAGAGAGCTTTAGCAACCAGGAATACACATTTTGAATTGTTTCTTTGTTGCACAATTTGATAGTATTTTTCATTTGCTCACATATATGAATGCAATATGATTACGCAAATTATATGTTGACTGTTAGAAAATTTTAAAGTAGAATTCAGAGTACTTTGCAGCTTGTGTAGTATACAAAGGAACTACAATTTAATTGCTGCTGCATTTGCTGCTATTGTATGTTCAGTATAGCATTAGGGAGAAGCTGCTTTAATATTTATTTATTTCAGGGTTTTGCCTGGTATTTGTGGAAGGATTCTATCTCTTCATTTTTACAAAATTATTGCCTTTCATGACTTTGGGCTTCCACACCACTTGCTTCAGTTCTGCAAAGGTTTTTAGTGGCTAATTTAATGATATGCAATACTGTCTCCTTTATTTTATGTGAGACATTGATTTTTATATTCAGTAGTTTGTCACAGTAAATGTTCCTTCTGTTCAAGGTAGATTCTTTATCTTGACCTTCTTTAGTGTTCTGAATGCAAAGCAGGGAAACCTTGTATTGCTATACACGTAAAGCTATTTAGTTTGTATGTTAAGAATAGAGTTGTTATTTTGGGGGTTGAAAATAAAGAGGAAAAGTGTAATAAGGGGTGAAGATATGCAGCATATCACAAACTAGTTCATTTTTTTGCAGTGTATACAGTCTCTTGTAAGTATTTCACTTGTTAATTCTGTTTTTGGGCAGTGCTGATATGTGATGAGGGTCAGATCTCAATGACTGAGAAGCTGCATAGATAGCATAGTATATAATATAAGTGAATATGCTAGAAAGAGGTATTAATTTCTTATAATTGCTTTTTCATTTCTTACATATTAGGAGGCCTCACTACTTCATACAAGCTAATGAAAGATACTTGACTACCTTTCAAATTTTTGAGTGTTTCTTAAATACTCTAAGTACGTCAAATACTAACCTCAAAATGAAGGTAAATGGAAGTAAGACATTAGAAGTTCTTGTAAGTGTCCTGTGTGTCAATATTCAAGTCCAGCAGCAACCCCTAATGGACTTCGTTGCAAACAAGACTCCTGAACCTACAAACATCTAGCTTCTCTGAACCTGTAAGCATACATTGTAAGTCGGGTAGTTGCTCTCATGTCAAATGGGGAATGGTCGACAGAGGCAACTCGCGTCTGGTTCAAGGCAGCACATGAGCTTTAGTTGAACCAGACGTGCTATCCAATTAGCATAGGCTTGCAGCTCCTCTGTGAGTGTCGTGGCTAAGAGCAGCTGTGGCAGCTGACAGGAGCTTTTTGTCATGCTCCTTTTTTTTTTTTTACGTCTCTAGATTGCTTTTGTCCACTTATTAAAGCCTGATAAAACTTCTTAGTAAGAATTGGTGCAAGCGACGAGCTGTTGTCTCCCTCCTCTCACTTAATGTAATCTTATGATGTACTTAGGATGCTGAGGATAAAAGAAATTTAAATGCTGGATACGGATTTGAGAGCAAGGCCTATCAGATGTTGTAACCTCTGTGGTTATCATTGTTTGGAAACAGGGCTTGCCATTTCTCTTGGGGTACCTTGTTTCCTGGGAGATGAATTTTTGAAGTCACAACCAATAATATTCTCACTGGATTGACCCATACTTCTTAAGGCCTGTTTAGTTCCAGTATCGTACAATAAAACAGATCAGAGAACTTTAATTTAAACATATGAATGCCTGATTGGTGGTAAATCTATCTGTTAATTCCTGAACATAATGGAGTAAAATTAAAGCAAGCACTACTAGGAATGGCATTTGCAATAATGAGTAAAAATGACACATTCACTTGAAATGTGAGGACTAGTTATCTAAAGTGGCTTTTGGCTCAGTGTGTTGGGGTGGGGCAGATAAAAGTCTATTTGCTTCTCAGAATGGTATAGGAAAAGTTTATCAGGAGTCCTTGGATTAATTTGAAATTGGCATTACTGCAGGTAGAACATCGTTTCCATTGGATTTCAGCTGTTCAAGCTGTGAGAGGACAGTGTCTAGGTTTTACTGTGCTACTTTCAGACCTATGAAGTGTCAAATATGTATCTTAAATGAAATAGAAGACATAATAAACACTTTCCAGACTATATATAGAGAAGTATGCAACCTAAGTTAATTTTGTCAGGGAATCTGGTACCACGTCTTGCCACTTTGTGGAAAGTTTTTTGAAGTTTGGTGCCTTGATTTCTAAGTGGAACTTAGTAAGTGCAGGGAGTTTGTGCAATGACAATTGCAATAAAAATATGTTAATTTCTAGTATTGTTGTGAATTTTCTGTAAATGTTGTGTAGATGTGGTTTGTATTTGGAAGGGGTGAAATACAGAAATACTGCAAACATTTTTCAAAATAGGGCTACTCTGTTGTCTTTCAGGTAACTAAATATATTGCGATCCATAGATCCTAGCTGCCAAAGTATCAACATGTCTGGAGGAAGGAGGGGGGGTAGTGATGGTGGTCTGGAAATAAAGTAAATGTTTCTTCTTTGCATTTGCATTGAGGTTATATTAATGCAGGAATGTTACCTGAAGGCACTAAAGGTTGAATGATAGGCCAAGGATAAGAGCTTTTTTTTATTGTGTGTTAACTTACTTGTCAGCTAGACTAGACTTAACAGACTTCACAAGTCTTCGTTTAAACGCATGAAAGGTAAGATTAAAATTTCAGAAGTAATTGCCTTTAAAAATTTTAAAAATATAAAAAATTCACTGTCAGAATATTGTAGATAAATCTTGACAATGCTCTCACCTAACCATATTCTTACTGCACAAATGCTTAAAAGTTTATTTTTTTTTAAAGAAATTATGGAAAGGAGTAGTACCTTTGACACAAGGTGCTATACAGATAAATAGACTGTGTTTCATGGTGCCTGGCTGAATCTTTATAAATGTGACTGGTTTACCCCTTCTTTGACAAGTAAGGGCCACTACATATGAGGGCTGGTTTTGATTTTAACTTTTTACAAATTGACTACTTATAATCTCATCGTTTTGAGTAATTATGGCAATTTTTTATACTTATTCCTTAATACTTGCTGTTTCCTATCAGGTAGTTAATTGCAGTTACTGATACAATAATCAGCACTAAGCAATTGTGCTTCTTGATTGATGTCTCAAAATAACCTGGCAGTTCAAAAGAAGTGTAGCAACTGCAGCAGGGTAGACAAAAAAGACGTTGCGTTGCTGGAACATGTCCAGAGGAGAGCAGCAAAGCTGGTGAGAGGTCTGGAGCACAAGTCTGATGAGGAGTGGCTGAGGGAACTGGGATTGTTTAGCCTGGAGAAGAGGATGCTCTGGGGAGACCTTATCGCCCTCTACAGCTACCTGAAAGGACGCTGTAGTGAGGTGGGGGTCGGCCTCTTCTCCCTGGTAACGGACGATAGGACGAGGGGAAATGGTCTGAAGTTGCGCTAGGGCAGGTTTAGGTTGGACATTAGGAAAAACTTTTTCACAGAAAGGGTTGTCAGGCTCTGGAATGGGCTGCCCAGGGAAGTGGTCAAGTCCCCATCCCTGGAGGTATTTAAAAGAAGGGTAGATGAGGTGCTTAGGGCCATGGTTTAGTGGTGGGATGTCAGGGTTAGGTTAAAGGTTGGACTTGATGATCTGAAAGGTCTTTTCCAACCTAGCCGGTTCTATGATAGAGTAGTTTGCTTTCAGTGCCATTAGCTTTTGACTTTCAGACAGAGCAGTGAACATCCAGTATCTGTGTGCAGGTGCATGTGGAAAAGAGGTGTGGCATGAAGAGGTCTGAGGGGAGTTGTTGCAAGATTTGGCAGTGCCTAGTGTAATCTTTCTCTTCCACTATCATGAATCTGAACATTTTTAAGTTGGGGTGGTTTGGCTTAGCTGTCTTCCGTCTCCATGCCCTAAACAAATTAGCTAGAGAAGAGTCTAGGCTTGCCAGACATCAGTATAAAAACCTTGGTAGAAAAGATAGCAGCAATGTTCTTGTTCTTTCACCACAAAAGGCCAGCCTCTAGGCTCTTATGGGACTCCTTTATTTTCAGTATGCACTTCTGCCCAGCCCAAATCTGGCGTGTGGTTTAAAGTCTCTTTGAAATAATTGCTGCATGGAACAGCGATTGCTCGACTAACCCTTACAGAAGATGGTATGCATATCCAGACACTCAGCATAATTGGATGGCTTTGCAGTGCTTTCTGAGACAGTATTCTGGTACAGTCATTAAGAATCTTCATGATGGAAACATACTGCAGCCTGGATTAAGCAATGCTCTTGTTCTGGTCCCCGGAGGTTTTAGTGCATGTAGAAGTGATCTTCTTTCGTTCTTCGAGATTATTGTCCTGTTGCAGAAATGCTGGAAGTGGCTGAACGTGACAGATGGTTGTGGATAATCGAAGTAGAACTAAGTCAAAGTACCAGCATCTTGCATTTTAAAAGGAGGATGATCTTGCAATAACTTGAATTTATAAACTGGCCAGTCTGAATCTCTTCTTTCTGAGCCATGTCTGTGCTTCGATTTTTGTAGACTTGACTCTCTCTCAAATCCATTTTGTAGGCTATACCTCAAAAATGAGAAATGTTTTTTCCTGAAGAATTTTTCATAGAGAAATATTCTCTCCCTGCTAGATCATGAAATACCTATTCATGATTATAGTCTGAGAAATAAGAGTGCTTAGCACCACATTCAATTTATTACTATACTTGAGCATTAGGGTAATGGAGCAACTATTACAAGGCAAGAATTGCGTTTTGGTTTTGTTTATGGAGTACCAGCAATCAAGGTTTTTATGTAATACTGGTAAGAAAATTATAAATGCAGTTATGTTTTGTTTTACAGGTCTTCTCCAGGATTCTGATAATCCATACAGCAGATTTGAGAATGAATAAAGCTGAGCACCTTCCACTGGTGCTGTAACTCCAGAGTGCAGGAAGATAGTTCATCTTCATTTGCCCTTTGGGCTCTTTTATTTTTTTTTTTTTTTTTCTTCCCCAAAGTTTGTTGTTTGGTTGGTTTTTTTCTCCTGTTTGTAAAACTGGGAGTGGATAAAGACTTCATTAAATACATGTTTCTGTCTTCTACCTATATAGAACTAATTTTTTTTATAAATGCTTTCAGTTGTTGAAATGTTTGACAGGTTTTTTTATGGTGACATTTAAGTGTGATACTGTCTTTCCTCCTCTTAAAATTGTGTTTTATTACTTGATGTAGATGGCTAATAGTCACAATCATGTGAATTCAGTTTTAACTGCCACTTAAACAGTTGTTCCCATGTTCCTAAATAAAGATTATTCTCTACTGTATCTCTTTTTTTTATAAAAATAAAAGGCAACATGGAAGCACAGCTTCACACAGCAGAAACAGATGATGTTGGTATTGATGAGAAAATACACCAGGCGCATTCTTATGTACTACTGTAATGTGAGGACTGGGTGGAGTTGTTTTCTCCTCTGGAAAAAGATTTTTAAGAGTGTGATGTCTAAGCGTATTTGTCCTTGAATAATTCACCTATGTTGAAAAAGAAATTACTTCAGCTAGCAAAATGGGAAGAAGGTCATTCTTGAAATAAACATAGTTATGTCTGCCTAAATTGACAGCCTGTGAACACTTTCTTCTGTAAGCTTCCTGTATAATTAACAACAAAAAAACAAAACCCCAAAGTTAGTAAGATTCTGCAGTTTACCAGGGTTGATCCTGGTCAGCAGCTAAGTACCTCCCTCCCTCCAGTGAGAATACTCTTAGGTTGAGATAAAGACAGTTTAATAAGTGAAGAAGAGGAGGGTAGGGGGAGCAAGTCATGCAAAGGCGATCACCACCTCCCAGGAGCAGACTTCTGCCCACCCTCTGCTCAGTTTTTGTTGCTGAGCATGGTGATGTATGGCCTGGAATAATGCTTTGGTCAATGTCGGCCAGCTGTGTGCCCCCCCAGCTTCTGGCCTGCTTGTGGTGTGGGCAGAGTGAGGAAAAAGGAAGCCTTGATGCTGTGCGAGCAATGATCAGCAAAAGCCAAAGCACCGGTGTGATACCAACACTGTTGTAGCCCCAGATCCGCAGGAAAGCACTGTACGAGCTGCTACGAAGAAAGTTCCCTCCATCCTGGGCCAGACCCAGTAGAGTAAGAGAGCAGTATTTTTTACCCTTTTATTGTTATTTTGGTATTTCCATAATGTGATTTATTTCCTCTTTCTTTTCATAGAGGTGTTCTTTGAGCATTTTTACTAGCTTACCAGTACGATGCAAAAGCGAAGAGCTCTTCTCCCCCCCCGCCCCAGTCTAATGCAAGTGCCATTTATTCTGTACTCTTTAAATAACCTCCCTTGCTGTTTATTGTCCATTAAACACATGTGCAGTATCAAAGATGTTAATGTTATTTTTTTTATTGCTAAAATAAACACTTTAACATCTTTAATTTGGTTTTGTTTAGTTCTGTTGTTCCATACAACTTTAAACTGACTTGGTTTAAAAGAAGTGATCATGTGTGAGTTTGGGAGAAGGGAAAGGATGCATTTTTGCTTTTGCTGTTTTTCTGATGGGAGAACAGAATCTTAACAGCACATAGGTGTGGTGGGTGCCAAGGTGAGTTGCTGTTCCTTCCAGTGCCAAAGAACCTGCCTCTACTTACGCTTTAGGAGATTTTGGTACAGTGTTCACGTCCATTCTTTCACTTTTTTTACCTCTGTAAACAGTTTCTCTGTGTACAGCTTCTCAGGAATTCATATTAAAATGTTTCCCAGTTCCTGAATCTCTATTGTAATTAGTGTTAATGGAATAATGGTCCAGTTTTCCTTTTTTCCTTTTTTTCTTAACTGCTATTTAGCGCTTCATTAGTAGGCACTGTGTTTAATTTCATATGTTTCTTCATCTGTCAGCTATTGTCAAGTCTGAAGAAACGGCTGTCTTTGAAGAATGATGGTCTGTGATAAGAGTGAGTTGATAGCGTGGAAATAAAACATGCTGATGGTTTTCCCTGGAGATAACTTTTGCAAAAATGATGAAGGTCTGCCTGCTGTCTCACGACCCAAGTAGTGACGTTCCTGACTTAATAGAAAAGCATTTTTCTTCAGCGCCTGCTACAGTGTATGAAGGGCTGTCACATCTTCTAACAGAAAGGGGGAGGAGGGACAACCTTTCTTACGGTTTCAAAGATAGTAAAGTACCTGGAGAACCAAAATATTCTGAGAATATGGAATGGGTGCTGCGTGGCTGGAGAACAGTTGTGTTACATGTAAAGAGAAGGTTGAGTGAAATCCGTGCGACCTTACGCAGCGCGTTCGCTTGCCGTTCCGAAGCCACGGTTGTGGGCGTCAAGAGGTAACAGCTGTGGTCAAATGTACCTTAACCAGACGTACCGTATACTAAGCCTTAACTTCATAGAGTAGCCTATAATTTGTACAAAATGTCAAGCTGTATAATTTTGCTTACACAGTTAAAAGACTAGACTATTAATTTAATGAGACTGTGTGAACAGCAGCCTTAGAGCTTAATAGAAAAAGCAAATATTCCCAAACAATCCCCAGACTTTTCAGATTATTTATCCTTTTTCTGCTGTGTTCATTGGAGCAGTTAATTGGGTGGAAAATATCCTTATTTCAGTATATTAATTGCAGCCTTCTCTGCTTTCCTGCATGTCAGTATTTCTTTTACAGAAATGTTGGATTTGGCTTATCAATAGAAAGGTTGCTAGCCTTTGTATTTCAGTGTAGCCACAAGTAATTGGGAAAGCAGCTGAGAAAGAGGTAATGTATCGTTGGTTCTCAGGTGTGTGAACAAAGGCATTTATCACTTTCAGTATGAGCTTTCCCTCCTCCACACTTTTTTCAACAAGAGTTAGGAATGCAACATACAAACAAAACTAAAGTAAGGGAACAGCATAACCTAAGCCTGAGAGCCGTAATATCTCTGCTAATCATCTGTTTTTCTCAGACTTCCTTTTCATTTGCATGTTATTCTCTCTTTCCTCTGTCTTTACACTTTTTATTTTGTTAATTTTAGTAGTTAAGGTATTGCTATCTGAAAAGAGCCGCAATCTCGGAAATGAAAAAGTGAAAATGTGTGTTTATCTTTCCATGGATCAGAACCTCCAGTACTGAAAACTCAAGTGGGGCAGCTTTAAGAGTAATGTTGCTGGGTGTGTGTTTATGTAACGAGCATTTTAGTAGATTGAAGCGTGCTGTTGTACCTTCCCTTGATGCAGGAACATACATTTTGCCACTTCCGAAGTCTTGGATTTGATGTTGAGTCATTAAGTTGTCTGCACCATGTCTTGCTTAATTGTTATTTGATTGTTAAGTAAAGCATATGGAAATAATTTTGAAAACCAGTCAACTTTCTGTTTTTCTCCTTACATTATCTTTGTTTCAGGCTTGCATACATAGTTTTCATCATCTATCCTTTCAAAAAAATCAGTGTGCCAAACTGCAGTTTCTTACCGCACCGAGTGCGTGCCTGAGGAGTGGCTCTAAAGAAGTGGGAGGGAATCGGCAAGCATGCTCTTCTTCCCCTCCTCCTTCTGGGTGTCAGGGGCCAAGCAGGAACAGGGTGAAGAGGAAGAAAGATACTTTGGGAGGAAACAATGGGGAGATGATCAGGGCGGGAGTGGGCAAGTCAATAGTCTGGGGAGACGGCGAAACTGGCAGCAATCGCACGTGGCTGTGCCCCCGATTCCTGCCTCTCTCCAGAATCGCCTTCGGTTTGGGGGCTCTGATCAGCCAACATCTCTGACTGCCCTGTGCTTCAGAGTGTGAATCGGGGAGCTTGTGTGGGTGGAGGCTTTTCAAGGCTCACATGTGCTCTCATCTTTCCTAAGACAGCAGGGCCAAGCTTGCTGTCAATTAACTGATTTGTCCACTGTTGGCCTCGTCCTAGAACAGCCACGTGGAGGACCGAGAGGAGGGAACGCTTGTCAAAGTAAGTAGAGAATGGCATTTTGTGATTGAAATATCATTATCTCCAGAATATTCCTAAGGCCAGGTTTCTGCTTGGTGACACCTGACAGAATCCTCCGAGACCATTCCCCAAATGCTGCTTCGCCCAGAACTTAAAAGAAAGGGTCACGATTCTGACACCTTCAAACAAAATCCAAAACTTATAGATCCTTCATTTATTTTAATGGCTTCACATGGTTTATACTCAATCCCTGGCTGAGCAAACACATTTAGTCTCTGCTGTGGCATCATTAAGGCTTTGGGCTTGGCATGAGAGGATCAAACATTTAAACGTTTAGAAGCCTGCGTTGGCTCCCAAGCCCGGAGCTCTATTTTGTCAACTTCATGTCATCTTCATGTCTAGGTCTCATCATGTCTCTCCGGTGATGTGTGAGTTCAAATGCTTTTGTCCTCAACAACGCACTTTAGTTAAAAAAACAATCTCTGCTTTGCTTTCTGATGCTGGGTTCCTACAACAGATGTTAAATGTCAGAGATGAGAACAAAATTCTTTGTTCCATGCTGACTTTTTGTTGCTGCTTTAAGCCACGGTGAAGTGGTGAAGGCTGGGCAATGCACAAGCCGTGAATGAACCAAACTGTCCACGGACACTAAAAGTTGTGAAGGGAGGCAAAAGGGAATGGGTAGTGGGGAAACAGTAGAGCAGTGGTCAAAAAAAGGTGTTTCCTTTCGCACATCTTTGATGAGATTTGCTTTTGCGTTTTGTTATGTCCTGTCAAATAGAAATCAAAATACACAGCTACATTATATTGCCATATCAAACATTCCCAGGTTGATTCACTTGCTGTATCAATAACCAGGCTTACTGTTTGTAGGAAAACTGGCTGAAAATCACAAGCTTCCTGGAGCCATCTTACACAGTTTACAAAGAAACTATTTAGTGGTGTCTTACGTGAGCCTCCACAAAGCAGGAAGGCCAGAAGGTAAGTCTAGACCTGAGGAAAACCGCCAGTGGATTTCAGCAGCTTAACAAGTTTATCAGTCTTCTGAGTGAACGTCTCGACCATCAGTATGCATTATTAATCACGTGGAGTGACTTTTCTCCTACGGATGTAGCAATTGCTTCTAAACAAGAAAAACATAATGGAGGGCAGAGTTTTTGAGCTGTCACTTCAAGTCAGGTGCTTGCGTGGCAGATAAATGGGTAAGAGAGTAAGCAAAGTCACTTTGAGAACCATGTAAGCTTGAATCTGTTTGTGTATTAACATGATGAAGTAAGATGCAGGATGGAGATAAAGTTATTTGCAGTCAGTCCAGAGACATGGGTCGTTTTTTTTAACTTTGACCTTCAGTCCAATCTGTGCAAGGAGATGTCAAGTAGCAGCACAGCAAAAAGGATTAGGAAATGTTTAATTACCCCAAGTTGAC